GCTCCGGAGCCCCTTCGGCTTCTCTCCTCCCCCTCCATCTGCCTCCTTCGTCATCCTCCTCCTCATCTTCTTCCTCCACCTCTGCTTCACCCACTTCGCTGGGATTGAAGTTCTTCTCGGACTCCAGGTAGGAGGCACGGGGATCGAAATCAGCGGCCATGTGCTTCTCCATCTGGTCCGGGTTCTGGGCCTTCATGATGAGCTTGTAGGTCTTCCCCTGGTACTTGGAGAGGAGGTGGCACCACGTGGCCCCCATCAGGGGTAAGGTGGCCAGCACCAGCAAGAAGATGCTCACAACCACAATGATGATGAGGGAGGGGATCTCTTTTTTGGTAGTGAAGACCACTTGGACCTGGCAGTCCTCCCCCAGGTAGGTGAGACACACGGAGTAGTTGGTGCCAGGGTTCAAGCCCTGGAACCAGTACGAGTTCACCCCTTCCTCGATCTTGGACCACTGGACCAAGGCATGGCCCTGCCTGCTCTCTTGGCACAGGTAGAGCATCCTGAGGTGGACCTTCTCGGGCTGCATGTAGGTGGGTGTGAGCTGCACCCGGGCATCACGCTCTGACACGTCTAAAGCAATCACCCCCAGGTCGAACGTGTGCTGCTTGAAGTCGCCACTCTCGTTGAAGGCGTGGTTGGAAATGTACTTGCTGGTTTGTATCGAGCCACACTTCTTCTCAAAGGGTGGAAGCTGGAAAGGGACTTGCCCATCTCCTGTGGACTCCACCTCAGCTGCCATGGATGGTTGGCTCTGCCGGGTGGGACCGAGTGGTTTGCTTCTCTCATCTGGCATGAGCACACTGTTCTTCGCTCCCTTGGCCCCAGGCTTCTTGTCACCTGCCTGTGCTTTGCCTCCCAGCGGGTCCCTCCCAGGCTGCAGTGGGGATTTCTGGGTGCCCGCCACAGCCACGTTGACCGAGGTCTGGTTGCTCCCCATTTCGTTGGTGGCCAGGCAGGTGTAGGTGCCTTCTTCCCGCTTGCTCAGGTGGGGAATCACCAACGTGCCATTCTTGAAGACCAAGAAGCGCTCAGGGTCCTGTTTTGGGAGGTCCTTCCCAGTGCTCTCCTTCGGGTTCCCATTGAGTTCTACGGTTTGGCTGGAGGTGCGGATCTTCCAGCTCACTTCAGGTGGTGGGGTACCTGTCACAGCACAGTGCAGCGTCAGAGTGAAGCCATCAAAGAGCTCTGTGGTGTCCAGGTTTGGGTAATAGGTGAGCTGCACGGTAGGTGAGGTGCACTGCACATCCGGAGTCTTCCCCACTGGCACTCCTCGGAGCTGGTCCGGGAGGGCACAGGTGATGGAGTCTTTCTCGGGGATGGAGATGAGAGTGCTGTCCATCCACTTCTTCAACCACTGGAGCTTGCAGGAGCACTCGAAAGGGTTGTTGTAGATCTGCAGGTGGGAGAGGGAGCTAAGCGAGTCGAAGATACCCTCTGCAAGGGTGGTGAACTTGTTGTTGTTGATGCGCAGGGACCGGAGATCCTTCAGGGTGTGGAAAGCTCCCTGAGGCACCAGAGCCATGTGGTTATTGTTCATCTTGAGCAGCTGGAGAGCACTGAGGTTGTAGAGGTCCTGCCAGGGGAAATCCACAATCTGGTTGTGGCTGATGTCGAGGTTTTTCAGCTGCACGAGGATGGCGAAGGTCCCGAGCTCGATGGAGCGGATCTCATTGTGTGCC